CATTAATAATTGTTTAATTTAAGTTATATTAAGAATTAAAGTAAAATCATTAAAGAATTATTTAATTTCAATAATTCTAGTTTTTTTTTTTTTTTTTTTTCCTAGTAATAAATGCTTCATTTATAAATTATTGTCGAACCAACCATCATCTTTAATTTCTTTTTGAATTCTTAGATTTTAATAAATAGTCACAAGCTTTTTTACACGATCATTGTTTAAGCATGCACAACTTTTATTATAAATAAATCCAAAGTTTGACCAACAATGTTCTGTGACAGCTGAAGAAGCAGGAAGTAAGAGAACTTGACAGGCAAGTTCAACTACATAAGGAAACTTGTTTGAAAAATTAGATCTCCACCAGCTAATTGAATTTGAATGTTCAACTGATGCCCAAAGTAGCAGTCTGGAGAATTCATCAGATTTAGAAATATATTTTTGGATTACTCCATAAATCTTTAATAAAATAAATTAAAAGTTACAAAAATAAAGTTTTCAATATAAATAGTATTAACAATACTTACATGTGCTGCAATTTTGAATGCATAAGCATTTTCAAGATATGAAACTATAGTATTTTCGAGATCATTTTGCCTTAGTGATTTTTCACAGATTCTAAAAATAAATTATTTATATTAAAGTTTAAACTAAATAATAATAATAATATAATATAATTATCTTGGATCTAGAAGATTTGCAATTGTCATGGCAGGATGAAATACAAATTCAAACCACTTATTAATTAAATCAAGAACTTTTGATTTAAACTCTAAACTCAAATCACATTGATTGACTAATTCTCGAAGTAATTGCCATTCAGGATGAACACGTGAAAATAAAGGTTCATCAGATTCAAATACTCATATAAGCCTAACAAAAGGCATCAAAAAAGAAGCTAATTTTTCTAGCTCTTTCCATAATGAGTCGTTGAATATTTGATCTTTAAGATCATGTGCAATTTTTTCACTAACTTTAGGTTGTATTACGGTCATCTGAATTCCTAATTTGCATCTTAGAACAGATTGAACCATATCTAGACAAGTTTCTCAGTGAGTATCAACAGGTTGAACTAAAATGATTGCATTTGGTTAGTTAATTAAAATCGATTCAGCTTTAGGATGTGATCAAAAAAAAAACTAATAATTTGCTTCGCACAATTCATCAATTTTTCTACCCAATTGATTTTAAGTATATCTTTAATTAACAGATTTCCAATATGTGCGCTACAGCCCAAGCATATTAATTGAGGATAATCATTATTTAACAATCTCCATGCTGCTCGCATTGAACTGGCATTATCCGTTACAATACTAGCAAATTTAGAAGGGCCAATAAGTTTAATAATTGTTTTAAGCTCATTATAAATATACTCTGCAGTATGTGACTCAGATCCAGAATATTTCACATTATAAAAGATTGGTTGTAGAAGACAAAGAATGAAATTTAAAACTGACTCCTGCCTTATATTTGACCACCCATCTGACACTAATGTAATATTTGTAGCATCTTTTAGAATTGCATCTAAACCTTGTCGTTCAACTTGGTATTCGGCATCTAATAGATTGTTGGCCAAATTACGTCGATTTGGGCTAATATAAAATGGATATACATTTTTAATATAATGTTGCACAGCTTCTATAAATTTTTCCCAAAAAAAGGTTTTCTATTGCCATAAAAGGAATACCAGCAGAATAAAAAAATTTTGCTAATATATTATCAACATCTGATTTTTTCACTGACATAGAGTCAGAGTTTTGAATATTTAGTGAAGCCTTTACACTTTTTGGAAGCTTTGTACACTTCAATAAATGGTCATTTAATCTACTGATTAAATCAACAAAGTCTTTCTCACAATGATTACACTTCTAACGAGGTGTTGTTCGACCTT